GGAGTGGACTGTGGGTGCCCGGCTCCAACCCCCCGTGCATGGAGTAGGCGTTCGGGGGGCGGATAGTGGGCGGGGCAACGCCTCCCCCTGCCTCGCATACCCACTGCCCCAGCCTCAGTCCCTGGACAGGAGGCCCCAATACAGTCCCGCCCTTGGGCCTGCCGATTCTGAACCGCGCCCCCGCCCAGCACGCGCTCCCGGCTTACGTTACTGTAGTCATACACCACCGTGCCCGGGCCGCTGGTCCCGGCATCCACGTAGAAAGTCGCCACCTCTTCTTCCCAGTCCATGAGCTGCAGTCGAGACCCTTCCCCCTCCAGCCCCTCAATGGTCATTTGCAAAACCTAGGAGGAGATCGCTGAGCCTGAGGAGTGGTCACTGAGAGCGCCGGGGGGCGGGAAGGGGAAGAGATGAGATCTCTCTCATCTCTGCTAGGGCCCCCTGGCATCCACCACAGCCAGCACAGACTGCCATTTCAACGGGCCCAGGGATGTTTTGTAGCTTCTCTTCCTTTCTCAGCTACCGCTGATAATCAGCCCTGTTCCCTCTCTTAAGGCTGGCTGGGATCTTACAATCTACTGCAGTATTATGTCACACAATGCACTGTCAACCTGTGGAACTCCTTGCCAGAGGATGTTGTGCAGGCCAGGACTTTAACAGGGTTCAAAAAAGAGCTGGATAAATTCATGGAGGTTCAGTCCATCGGTGGCTATTAGCCAGGATGGGCAGGGAGGGTGTCTCTAGCCTCTGTTAGAAGCTGGGAATGGGTGACAGGGGAGGGATCACTGGATGGTTCCTGGTTCTGTTCGCTCCCTCTGGTGGCCCTGGCATTGGCCGCTGTCGGCAGATGGACCTTTGGTCTGACCCAGCCTGGCCATGCTTAGTTCTCTTTGCACCTACACAAGACGGCATCTCCGGTCAGCTACACCGATCGCCGTTGGGTCTGTGCCTGGCTGCCGTGTGCCGCCCCTGTGCCCAGCATCGCCTGCGCCCCACCCCTGACTTACAGCCTCCGTGTGCTCCTGGGTCACGTGCAGGCCCAGCAGCAGGGCTCCCAGGACCACCACCACGATCAGCACAATGACCACCACGATGATCAGGAGCCGCTTGATGTGCACGGGACAGCCGGGGAGCTTGGGCAGCCGACAGAGCAGCTTGGGGAGGCAGCAGAGGGCTGTTTTCCAGGCGCCGCAGCAGCAGCTGCAACAGGCCTTGCAGCCGGGGCAGCCGGGGCAGCAATTCGGGCAGCCGGGGCAGCTGGGGCAGAAGCTGGGGCAGCAGTTCATCTCTGGATCCAGAGCATGGTAGGGCTAAGGGCACAAGCAAACCCAGGGAGAGGTCACGGCAGGGGAATGGAGAAGGGAGCCGGAGGAGGTGAAGGGGCATGAAGATGCGAGCCGGGGGAAGGAGGCAGGACCGGGGTGAGGGGGAGAGACAGAGAGAAACACTGGACAGGGAGCGATCTGGGACCGGGCGGGACCATGGTTTTAAGGAGCAGCAGACAGCCACCTGCCATGCCCCCGGTCGTGCTTTGCAGAGCCGCCAGCTCAGTCCCACCCTGTGGCTGACTGTAGGCAAGATAATTCCCTGCTAGCGCCGGAGCGCCTGCTTGCCGGGGAGTAGCATGGGCTGAGCCGGTAGGATCCCAGCCCTTCTTCTCCCTGAGGCCCCCCGTTCATGTACCCGGGAGAGCGGCTAGGGTGGGTGACTCTCAGCATCGGGGGAACCAAGGACGCGGATGCCATGTCCTACACGTCGTCATGGCAAGAACAGAGACCCCCACCCCGGGCCAGGCACCCACAGATGCAGAGACAGAGCCCCACGGACGCACCGGCCCGCCCTCGCCCAGCTGGGGGAATAGAATCCGCTGCTGGCCCATAACCGCGGCCACGTCCGAGCGGCGAGGCATGTGGCCGCTTTCAGGTAACTTTTGCCTTTTGCTAAAACCCAGCCCCAGAAGGGGGGGCGTGAGGCTGTCTTACCATAGGGTCCCCCGTTAGAGCCTTCTCCATGCTGACCTCCATCTTGTGGCTTCTCCTGAGGCGCCCAGCCCTGCCCATCGACTGTAGGACAGAGAGAGACTTAAATAGGGAACCTGAGGGAAGCCAAGGTGAGGGGGGAAGGGAAGCTGGCGTTCCCCAGGCCCTCCCGGCTCCACATCAAGTGTTTAATTCCCTTCGGATTTGTTTGTGAACCTGTTTCCCGGGGCCCTTCAGAGGCAGGTCTCCGATAAGCCCCGGGCCCATGGCCGGTGAGAGGCTCCAAGGACTCTTGTCTCCGGGCACGTGGGCCTTTGAGCGCCCGAGAGCCGCAACCGCAGGGGTTGCGAGGCCAGAGTCCCCCCGGCTCCGAGGGGCCGGGGGGGGGGGCCGGCCCCCCAGCCAGGCTTGGCTCGGAGCCCCGCGCCTCTGAGCCCCTCTGGCACCGGAAGGTGCTTCTGAGGTTCAAAGCGAGAGCCGCACATCAAAGGCCTTTGGCGAAAGCCCTCGCCGGGAGCGCCTGGCCCTCGCGGAGGGGGGGCTGCCAGGGGAGGGGCCGTGTGCAAACGCCAGCACTTCCAAGAAGTGTTCGCACCCGCGCCTTGCCCAATTTCTGCAGGGGGCAACCCCAGGGGAGACGGAAACCGTCTGGGGCCAGCGCCGCTGCATCCTCATGCTGCCACAGCAGCAGTTCCCTGCGAAAGCCCTCGCCGGGAGCGCCTGGCCCTCGCGGAGGGGGGGCTGCCAGGGGAGGGGCCGTGTGCAAACGCCAGCACTTCCAAGAAGTGTTCGCACCCGCGCCTTGCCCAATTTCTGCAGGGGGCAACCCCAGGGGAGACGGAAACCGTCTGGGGCCAGCGCCGCTGCATCCTCATGCTGCCACAGCAGCAGTTCCCTGCTCCAGCGTAGGTGGCCACCCGGACACCCCGTGGGAGCGGGTGAAGGAAGGAAGCTTGAGGTGGAGCAAGGCTTTCGGCTGGGGAGCCTGGCGGGATGCACGGCCCAGCGAGGCAGCACAGAGACAAACGCGTCCCTGGGTGGACGACCAGCACATGGTCCCACACGTCCCTACTGACACGGGCCGTGGGCGACGTCTAGGCGTTGTGACATGAACCCGCCGAAGGGCCGGTCCTATGAGCCAGGAAAGGTCTCGGCTTAAGACTTGCCAAGCTCCTAGGGCGAAATCAAAACTCTGACCAAGTGGGTCTTTGCCCAGGAACGCTGATGCTCCAACACTTCTGTTAGTCTCTAAGGTGCCACAGGACCCCTCGCCGCTCTTAGCAAAACTCCCGCTAACTTTAGGGTGGTGGCCCCGTTTTGGAGAGTTAGTTAGGTGTTGCTGGGCTAGGCCCAACTGTGACGACGCGTCGGGATTTTCCCATCTCCTGCACCCTGAAATGGCATGAACAGACTCCCCCAGCCCGGAGAAT